CATTTAATCACCTGTTCTGACTCATTAGAAGACAATATCGTTGTAATTACTTACTTAATCACTTGTTTTTAGACTCATTATAAAACTAAACAATATTTGTCTAAGTGTGGGTGTATTGTAAACCTCTGCCTACTCTTTGGGAATATAGGGGTGATAGTATTTTATGTTACGCGTTGTAAAAAGTTTGTGTTCCTCAACTCAAAGACGAAATCATTTCGTTTCACATGTAAAATTAAATAAAAGTATTTTGATGATTTTTTAAAAAAAACGGCATTTATGGCCGTTATCTGGAGTATGCAAAAAATCATAAATAATTAGTACTATAACCACCTGTAAGGATATTACGGTTTTCCTTGCCGTTTAAAAGATAATTCGATTTTTCATACAAGTTTCATACAAATTTTTCGAAAAAGAATTATAACTCCTTCGTTTTTGAACATAATCAACTCGGGTGTCATATTTGTACATAGTAATAACTAAAAGAAGCAATATTCGGCAAAAAAACTGACACTTGCAAATTGAAATCCCTAAGTCTATGAAAGCCGATTTTCAGCCCACCGTGTGTCGTCACAGTGGGAACAGCTAGAACGACAGTCGTCAGACGCTAAAAAAGTCACGATAAAAACGTGACGACAGATTGTCGCAGCTCCTATTGTCGTCACGATCTAGTGGGAACAGCTAGTCACGACAGTTGTTCAACGAAAAAAAATCGTCCACGACAAATAGTCGTGGGAACAATCTAGACACGACAGTCGTCCAACGATAATAAAACGTGACGACATAGTTGGAACGCGCCCTTAGGCAATTAGTATCCGTAAAAGGAGGTGCAAAGGAGGAGGATTGGTTCTGTATGTGTTGTATCCATGTAATGAGGGTAGGTTGTTAACGCAATATAGCCAGCAGTCCATTAGAACAATTATATTGCATAAAAAGTCAACCTAGTTAATAAGACTTAAATTTATGTTTTATTTACTTACAAAGTTTAGGTTTATGCTACGTATATTTTGTTGCAAGATTTTAATATAGGCAGTAGGGTTGTTTACATACTGGGTACATTCTTCTGGGGCACAAGTTAGTGTTGTAGCTACACTGAAATTTTCTATTGATTGCATTACATTTACAGTGTTATCGAATTTTATTTAATAATATTACAATTGTCCTCAGTTCCGTGTACGTATCTAAACTATTATAAAAACAATATATTAATTTACCAGTGCAGTTAGATGTAAGGAGAAAGAATAATGACTGATATATTATGCGTTAATATTATTTGATTGCTATTTTTACGAGAGATTTGCGTTATAACTGTACCTAGTTTGTAATATTTGGTTATACGGAGGCGAGCGAAGTGGAATGAAGTTTTATTTATATTACGTGTTTAATTTGATGTAGGTAGTGACTGTAAACTTTTGCAATAGAAAATTATATGAGTTTGATATGTTTGTGAGTAAGAGTGTAAAGGTATGTATTGTTATATAAGTTATGTGGTGAATTTGTGAGTGGGAATGGTGAGGTAAGTAAATTAAGTAATTTATGTGATTTAAGTAATTTAAGCAATCTAAATAACCTAAATAATTTATGTAATGGTGTATTTTTACAATTAATTGGCAATTTAAAAATAATTGTATGTGTTTTTAAATAAAAATTTAAAAACACATACAATTATACAACGCACTATACATTGCTCTTTTAGTGAGGATATATGCAGCTAGTCAGTTAGAGAACTTATGCAGATCTTGTTCTTCGTCAATCCGGATAGGGGTCTGTTCCTTTTCTTTCTTAATGTAAACTTTACCGTACATCGTCCAGTATGCCGCTATTCTCTTACTTTTAACAAACTCCCTCCCTAGATAATACATTCTTCCAGCTTTATTAGTAAGGGATTCCGATACGTATAAGGTTTTAGGCGATCCCGGGAGCTTTATATACTGTGTGTTTAGTTGCAGTTCCTTGACCTCTCTTTTTGTTTTATTAAATTGTCTTGTCTTTTGAAGGTACTCTTCCTTCCGTAGTTTGCTCGTGAAATCAATAATAATTGTATTTGTTCCCTTTCTATATACATCCCGAAATTCGGAGTTTTGTATGGTAGGTTTAATCAGTACGTTGCCTATTTCTGTGGTTAGATTTATCAGAACCTGTTTATTTTCCTGCTGTTGTTTGGGGATATTACGTATCTCAACCGTCGTGCTGTGTGAGTTTTTCTCAAGTAACTCCATTTTCATTTCTAGGATGTGTATTTGTTTTTTGTAAGTCTTATTATCAGTTTCGAGATTATGATTTTTTTTAAAAGCTCATCATATTGTTTAGACATAAAGTCTGTTGAGTCCATTATTTCCTTTTGTTTTTCCACCGCTGCAATAGTAGTGCTGAGGGAATCAAATCTTCTTTCTTGTTGACTCTTAAGCTCAAGGAAATATATTTTTAATTTCCTACATTGTTGAATCAGAGCTTTCGGAACTGTCCAATATGTCGTGAAACGTTTGTTTAACTCGTTTTGTTATGCTAAGCTGGTCCAGTTTTTCCGCATCGTTTGCCGTATTTAGTTCAGGGTTTGAGGTACACAGAGAAATACGCACAGTGAACGAGGAAGTTTCGAGAAAATTTTTGGAAGTTTAGAGTTTAGATTAATAGAATTATAAATAACAGAATCGCGTTAGAATTTTCGCTATGTTGCTGCTCTGACCACGTACAAGAAAGCATTAGGTAGGGGAGCGTGGGGGAATGGGAGCCTACTAAGGAAAATTGACAATAAAAGTCATAATTTAGGTAATTTTAAATTTTTATTAGTTATGAACGTACGCTTCACATATCTGGGTACTAGATAATCACAGAAAAAATGTGAAACTAAAATAAAATATTTGGTTAAAAAAGAAAAAACTAAAACATGTCATTCGCTCTCATTACCCCACCTTTCGTGAAATGGGAGCCGGTAAGAATCCCGTATGTCAAATGGGAGCCATTATATATAATCAGTCTGAAAAAAAATTAAAGTAATAAAATATATATATAAGTTAAAAAGTAATGAAAATAAACAAGAAAGTGTTAAAGAAATATCCAGTGAATATTGCAATGGGGTAAGGAGAGCCAAATAGCTCTCATTACCCGCGTAACATCGAATTGAAAAAGGAATAAAACAGTAAAAACATTTCTGTTTTTATTGTGATTTCAAGCATAACTTCTAAAATTTGATAGATATGGTGACATAGCTAGTGTAAACACAATGTAGTATCTATGCATTTTAATGCCTACCTGGGATGATGAAATTTAGCAAATTTTATAAGTGCGTAGCGCAAAACACACAACCCTCTCATACGACTAAACGCGGGGTTCTACAGGGGCGCCCACTGGACTCGAATCTTGTCGAACGTTAACGAAGATATAGGAGTGCCGTTTGCACAAATACGAGCATTGGGAAAGTCCAGTTTAACACCGCTCTCATTACCCGCGGGCTCCCAATACCCCACGTTCCCCTAACCCTGCCACTTTACGCGCACATTTGCGCGTGTGCTGATAGCGCCTTGATGTATGTAGTAGTAGTAGGTAAATAACTTTAGATCATTGTATGGAGTGTTCGAGGTGTGACACCACATTTGCGCTAATAGACTCAATTATGGGTAGACTCATATTCGTTGTAATCGTTTTGATTTAGGAACCACATAGATAGTCCAAAGGATAACAGCATAATTAGAGGAAGTATTAATATTTTAAGTAATTCATCCCAGAGTTTAGTGACAGAGTATTACACATTTGCCTAATACTCTGAGATGAAATCCAAGTCCACAAATGTAAACAACAACTGTCACTGACAAAGTGATATCTCATAGACTAAACCTTTTTCTGGTTCTACTCTTCATATTACGAGTACTAATTATAATGGAAAAATAATATCCTTTTGGATTAAACAATTTACAGAACTTTTTAAAAGCATATTGTGCCATAAAATATTTTTAATTGAGAAATTATGACGAAATGAGAATTACCAATCATTGTCTACACACTGTAGTCTTGCCGATCAGCACCAGTATCAACATAAATTACATACCACACAATGTGTATATTGATTTGGATTCGTTAAAATTTCAAAAATTAAGTTTATTTACTCATACTAATCGGCAAGATTTGAGACCCGCTCCTGAATCGTGAATTGTGGCTCACATGCACCTAATTCATCACTGATTTTGCGATATGCATTATTACAATGTTTTCTACTTGAGATTGAAGCGGATTCTCAGTAATTATTACGAAATATACGAAATCGTTATTTTCAACTGAAAAAAATTTGGCAGACAGCCATTTCACACAATTAATATTGAATTGACATGTGACAAGTTCACATTGCCAGATGAAAGTCGTTAGATTTTTCTAATATTTAATGCCTTGAGATTCTGATACAGTCAGAGCACGTCAAGCTTGACACTTTGTACTTTGGACCGTTCTTATCATAAGCGCCATAGAGTTGGATTTAAATCTTAAGTGTCAAACTTAACATGCGCTTAACCCTGTACACCTATACTATTAATGAAGTAAATTGCATAACATTTGTATTTGCGTATTTGATATATTTGGAAAACAATCGCCATGTGTAGATGGCATGTGTGACAAAGTATTCTTATTTGCCTATTCGATAAATGCAGCAAACACCAAACTCGCGTTACCGCGCGCGAGTCGGTTTCTGGACGCACATCAAAGGAGCCAAATCTAATAGGGAAATACGCAAGTAAACTGGGGTCATATTCATTATTTTGATTCCTTATTTTGACTTCATTTGTAGACGGTCATATTTGTCAGTGTCTGCATATTTACATGTATCTGCATGTTTGTTTGTCTGTAAGTCACATATTTTTCCAAGTACGTCAATCCCACAATAGCGAATAGCAGTGTGAAGTGCTGCCATAAAAATGTCAATATCCAAACGTTGTTATGTTCATGTTGTTACTTAATTAAATGACTTCAGTTTGTAGAGTAGGTACCGCTAACGCAGTTTACTTTTTATTTTCCAGAGAATATAATGGTTCGAATTTACGAGTTGGATGAAAACGACGATGAGATTTGGTCTACTAATGTTCACATTTTGCCCCCAAATGTACACCGCCAAACGGGTATTTTTTTCGAGTAAGAAAAATTACACACTCACTTATAATATCCAATATCCATAATAGGTACAACCAAAGACGTATAGTGCATGCTATTGTAGTATCAATAATAATAATAACTTGATATGTATCTAATACATTTACGTTTATTTGTCAGCATTCCACCGTACAGAGATCAGAATATAACAAAGGAAGTGAAAGTATATATGCAACTGCAGCGTCCTAATGATGGTGCCGTGAGCGAGCCTCGTGAGTTCTATTATCGTCCTGATCCCTACTCTGCGTGCCGCAAAAGAGCCAGGCTTAATAATTCTGGTAGGTTATTGTTGACAAATTTCACTTTATCATGTTACGCAATTTTGAAGGACCAAGTTCCTCAAATAATACGTAATCATTTTACATCGATATTAAAAACACAGGCAATTCCGGGTTCCAAATATTTTTTAAAAAGAAACTTCTGTAATAATTTATCATTTATCTTTAGTATTTGATCTAAACCATGACACTTATCAGTTGCTCTCTCTCCTGCTTCTTTTGTGTATCGACAATTTATGTTTGTTTCACATAATTACAGAAAAGAGAATAAATTCATACGCTGCCTTTATAGAATCACGTAACATTGCAGAAAACCACGATTTTAAACTAATTATACAGCGACGAGCAGAGCAAGTTCATCATACTTTTTCAAAATTTTTATACGTAATAATTTCACGATATATCGCTGTATGCTTACTTCAAAGTCGTAGTATTTTGCATTACTACGTTATTGCTCAAAGGCAGCGGCATAATGTAACCTGTGACAAGCGGGTATTTATCTGTAAGCCCGCCTTAATTTCTAAAGTGTCGAAATTTCTACCCATTTAAGTGAATCCTTCAAGCTTTTTTAAGCCTCTGGGTTTTACTTAGAATTATTTTGTTACAGGCGATTCGGTTCCAAGTACTAGAGGCGTACGTAATTCTAGAAATGTGAGTTATATTGTTATCGATCTTATTAACGACTTTTTAGCTTTCAGATTTGTTAGATTTTATATCTATTTCAGGGTCCAGGAAGAACGGAAAGCTTGCAGGACATTCCTGTTTCAAAATCATCTGTATGGAGTGGTACTTCCGATATTCCAACATGTGCTAATACTGCAAGCGTACCAAATACAGTCAATATTTATAGTAACTTCCACAATAACACGAGTGCAACGCATTCAGGAAATTCTCAACATAGCGTCTTGCCTCAGCAAAATCCGATTAAAAACTACTCTGACTACATGGGGCAAATGACTCTAGGAAGTGAACTTGTGACTCATACTACCACTGCAGGAGCAAATGTGCCTCAAAATAACACGTTGCAAGATGCTCAAGGTAGCCAACTGTATGGCCTCACTACACATAGTGAGTCTCAGGGCTTGCTACAAAGTAAAATAACTGACCCACTTCTTAGTTCTGCTGGATTTGATGTCAACTGGCAGATCTCGCCAACAACGAACTCAACATATAATTCTTTTTCACAAGTTGATCAAATGAATCAAGCTTCACAGGCTACACATACAACTTTCGACTATGCTAGTGTCTCCTGCCAACCAACCAACTGTCAAGTATCACAGGTAAATTAATATTCTATGCATCTATGTATGTAAAACATAATTTCTTCTTCAAGTATCGCCTAGTTTGGAGAACGCTTACTTCGAAGCAGGAGGTTCCCGTTCTAAGTCCCGGTGGTCTGTATCGCTTACTCGAATTATCTACAGTTTGGATAACTTATTAATTTTAATTATCTACAGTCAGATAAAAAAAATGTTCGGAAAGGAAAATAATGCACACTGAGTTGACGAGTATAATCGAGTATCAAATATATATTACATAACGTACGCTAGGCTCATTCAGTACCGTAGAGCATATTTTCTTTTCTTGCCATTTTAAAACATAATATTTTCGGGGCTATTTGAGTTCTGTGGGCCCCGTAGTCTATTAGTAACTTATTTATATATTGAAATTCTAATCTTAGGACAATTTTTTAAACAGCCATCTAGCAGAGACAACCACGTCCAAATCGACGCTTTGGGAGGACATATAATTGAAAATTATGTTGTGATACCTGTAAGTTTTTTTTTTGGCGCTTTTTTTTTACTTTGGACACTAATGTACCAATTGTCAATAGAATAAATTGTTTTTTTAATATCTGCAACGTAGCAAGGGGTTTATTTTTAACTTGTCAACCTAATGAAAGTGTGACTAATTGTATATTTTAAATTAGGGAATGCAATATTGGTGTTGCCATGGTTATACTTTTTGGGACATGTCATTTTGCATTACATATCCATGTGCTAAAAAATACTTTCAATTTTAGGAAGCTGGACAGAGTTATGGAAATAATGCAACTCCGTTCGATGCCAATCCCACAAGTTCGATGTCTTTCGATGCCAATCCCACAAATTCAATAACTTTGGAAAATTTTGAAGACTTCAACTTCACCTTGCCTCTATCTCCCGACCCGTCCTTTGCTAACAATCCGTGTTTTTTAAGTAAGTCTTACATCACGCTCGCGGTTTATTTCACTTACATAAATTGTGCAAAGTAAATGCGGTAAGTAACAATTTATAAATCTTTACAGATTACTTCACGGATTTGGAACGCCTCAGGAAAGACGATCTGCAGGTAATTACTAGTAAATAATAAGTATTTATTTAAATTATTGAATAGAATAGGATAAGCTTTATTGCACACGAAATGACAATCCAAAACTCAATAGACGGCCTTATTACTAGACAGCGACCTCTTCCAGGCAACCTTCAAATTATTACGGAGTTACATCACATTACAGGTGAAGGGCACTCAATGGTGCAAAGCAGCTAAACGGTGTATAAATTTATATACACATACAATACATAGAATATGCTTGTGATACATATTTATCAACGATAATATATCTATATTCATTATACATCTTTATTAAATATATTTAGTTGTCTTCAGTGAGATTGAGGTAGATGACATCGGCATAGGCTAGTATAGGTAATAGGAGAGATTGTGGTAGTTTTAGTGTAAATGAGAAGGAAATTTCGAAGCCTTCTTAAGGATGTAGCGAACGCAAATGTATTTGTGGATCCCAGTTGAGATTTTTGTCAATGAGCATTCCGAAATTCTTAACACAGTCCCTGACAGGCAAGTTCACACTGTCGAAAGTAATTGGTGGATCAAAATCGACGGTATTGAAAGCATTACTAAAATCGAGCAGAGAAATAACCGTAAACTATCCACACTCTATAGCGGACCTAATGTCATCTGTGGTGTTAACCAATGCTATGGTGGTACTGTGTCCTGGACGAAATCCAGATTGGTATGAGTTGACAAGCTTATTCTTACAAAGAAAAGTGGAAAACTGCTCGTGGATAAGGCACTCAAGAACTTTGGAAGAAAAATAGATATAGGCCGGTATTCAGAGAAAGACGTCGGGTTAGCTTTTTTGAGCAACAGATTAATTTGAGACTTTCCATGTCGATGGAAAGATACAGTTGTTGTAGAGTGATTTAAAATATGTTTATTAAGTGAATGATCAAGGATGGGAAAAATCTTTTTGCGGCTAACGCTGTCACTTTCTACGGCATCGGAGATTATAATTATAGACATTTACCAAAATTATCACGTATCTTATAATTGTTGTTATTTAATTATAATATTTATTTCATAAAAAGATTTGATAAAAAGATCAAACATTTAATAAACAAACAAAACAATTTCAGGTGCTTTCCGATGGCGGCGGTGGTCAGGTAAGTCCAGGTCAGGTAGATCTTAAATACCTTCCTTTCAACCATTCATTTCAATTATTTTTTCAAACTTCATTTCAAACGTTTCGGATATTTAAACGATGTAGCTTCGAACACAGGATGAAGCTTCGACGTCTGGGCAGTCCAAATTGAATGCTTCAACTCGGTCTGCCAGATACACGATGGCTGACGCTTTGCAAGCAAAAGTTGTAAGTACCCTTAAATACTTCCCGTTGTTGTGGTTGTTAACTATATTGATACTGAATTTCCACTGCCAAGTGTTAAGATCTTGAAAACTCTCGAGGTCCAACATCGAGCTAATCAGAGCTTCCGACTTCGACTCTCAGTAGAACTAAGTTACCTATTAAAAACTTTTTGAAATTGAGTTGGGCTTTGCGAATAAGTAGTGCGGAAATGGTTAAATTCGTTACTCTCGTATCATTTCTGCTGGTCTTACATAATTCTTTAAAAATTACGAGGTTCCACATCGAGTTAATGAGAGCTTCCGACTTCGACTCTCAGTAGAACTAAGTTACCTATTAAAGACTTTTTGGAATTGAGTTGGGCTTTGCGAATAAGTAGTGCGTAAATGGTTAACTTTGATTCTCTCGTATCGCTTCTGCTGGTCTTACATAATTCTTTACAAAATACGAGGACAAACTGACGGATCGAGTTCAACTTATTAGTTTGAGTGTAGATGTGACTATTTGCTCATTTAGTTCCTGTTAGTGGAACAGCAAATAAATAGTAATAATTATTCATTTACTTCTTTAATTAATAGTTGCTGAAAGACATATGCGATATGTATAAAACTAATCCTTATAAGAGAAAAGCGGACATCAGACAGAAATTGGACAAACTCTTCAAGTTGAGGCTTACCAATGGCGACACGTAAGTATTTTATATACAAAGATATACTTGTGCGTTAAAAACAATAAAAAGAAAATGAAATCAAAATGTGAATTTTACTCATCATCATCAGCAACTCGCACAGTGCTCATATTAAAATCATGTTTTGGTATGAAATAGCGCCCGCGCGGTGCTGGTGGGATACATCAAATACAAGTACCTACCTATCCAAAAAATCGTTCTATGTGTTGGCGTGGTGCGGTTCCATCCGACTTAATGGAAAATGGAAGTCTAAATTCTGGTCATGTGCACAAGTGGTGCACAGAGGTTTAGGTCTTGCAACTTTTGGATTTCTAAAGAAAACATTTGTTTCTTAAAAAAATATCGGTTCCCCACAAAACACTGTGCCCTGTCGTGTGATGTCCATTCCAGGGTCCGTTTTTCGACTGTTGTTTCGCGTGCTGCGCCACGGCCGCGCCGCACATTGGTCGAAATTGAGACCTTCCCTTTATATTATTATTATAATATAAAAATACATTAACTTAGTGTTAAAGTGGTTTAAGATTACATTTTTTGTTAAACCTAAACCTAAATTTATTTTGAAAGGGGACGCGCGGGGTCCAGGTCAAAGGTCATAATGGAACCATTATTGACCTGGTAACAATACCTAATAAGGTTTAACTCTACAGCTACACAGCTTAGCAGTAATGAGATATTTTAAAAGTCATTTTCGTTTTCATACATTTAAAATGTTCAAGCTCAGTTTTCGTTGCGGTGAGCGTTGAAATAGGTGTAGAAAGAAAAATAGCACTTCATTTTTTTTTAATTCTTATACATATAAGGGTGTAAGATCTCAATTCCGATCAGTATGCACCGCGCCGATTAGATTAGAATGGTGGCCTCGCGCCGGCGCGCGCGGCGTCGCGCATTCGGGTACTTGTCAAGAGCTTAGTCTATATATTTTTTTTACATTTTATGATATCAAGTGACGCGACGAACAAGTCATGTGAGCCACTCACCAACAAGCCTGTCACCGAGAGAACAAGTTCAGACAAGAACAAGTCCCATGTGCCTGTAATTTCATCAATTTTGTCTGGTTTGGGCATAGATTTAGTATATATACTGTAGATTTAGTTTATATATGAGAAAATTGATGAAATTACATCACATAATAATATATATAGTACCCAATACTAAAACTATGGGTTTGAGCTACCATTCGAAAATATCGTATGAAGAAGGTATAGCCATTTCTGCAGCCACTTTTGTATTATGCAGTGGCTACATCATGTCTGATTTAAAAAAACCAAAAGACGCTGACGGATGTCGTCATTCAATAAGAGCGTCGAGGTAAGTTGTTAAGATTTTATTGAATGGAACGTAGGTAGTTTGTTTTGTGAAGTCATAATAAATTGAATAATTTGAACTCTGTCAAATACCGTAAAGCCACGGGCCGCCACGCACTACCACGCGCGCTCTCGCGCCGCGCCTTCGAAGTTTCCGATTCGCGGCGGATGCCAGCTTAATATAGGCGAAAAATATCTATCGATTTACTGGTGGTTTTAATGGTCGGAAAAAGGTGTTCCACATTATAGATACATGTATAGATATAGCTACAAGGAGCGATATAGAGTTCTTAAAACCAGCAAATATTAATTAATTAATTTTTTCGAATTTCCGGATGAAACAAACTCCTCTCTTTATTCTATTTACGAAGATAAATAGCCGTACGTGGGTAAGGCCGTCAAAAATGGTACTTTTTCGTCTTGTTTAAACGTTCAGCAGTTTTTTGAAATAAAAAGTATATAAATAATTTAGTGTGGACATTTTACTTTTAAAATACCATATTTCTGCTAGTGGTTCGAATTTTTGAACATCTGGTATACTGTGTTTTTTAATTTAAATAAAATATATTTATAATAATAAATAAAGTATACAAAATGTATAATTAACAAACGTCGCCGTTCCGTTCATTGACCGTAAATATGCGGTATCTAAAGCGAGAGAGGGGCGGAGAGTGACCATTCGCGTTACTTTTTATTATGTTTTGGTAAAAGGTCACTTATCTACTACATTTTTTACATGGCACCATTGATTACCTTAAAACTCCAACTTCGACTTTCTGGTTTTTTGTCCTACGATGCAGTGAAACCATTTCCGGAAATCCGGAATTCGAAACAGTAAATAATTAATATTTCGTGATTTTAACAACTCTATAGCTATGTACGTGGAACACATTTTTTCCACCATTGTTTATAACATAAATACTCGTACGAGAACTTGCAAAATTTTTGGTACCTATATCATTTCTTTAATCATCGGTGAGGCACACAAACTATTTTCTACTTGGCCCTTTTTTCATTTCTGTTTTTGATAGGATATAAACGCAGCTTACTACCTGAAATATGACGACAATGGGACACTTTGTAGGTACACGGTTATAAACTTTTTTTTAATTTACAGGTTTCTTCACATGGCTCTGCAGAATAATCCCCCAAGTTTTGAAGCGGTTGTTAAAATCATAGATGCAATGAACATGAACCATTTGCTGAACTTGCCAAATGATTTGCATCAAACCATTTTACATATAGCATGCGCTGTCGAACTACCTTCCATTGTGACATTGCTAATTGAGAAGGGTGGGTAACATGTTTTATTGGCTCGGATTGCCGAAGCGAAATCCACGGCTTATTTCCAGTTGTTACCACTGCACTGGCTTTGTTCCCACACAAATAAAAACAAATCGCATATGTTACCAGGTGGATAATGGGATAAGAAAATCGCAGTTCTCAGGAAAAAAAACCCATATGTTACCAGGTTGTCAGTGGTAAAAAAAGACAAATGGAATAAAAAAATCCCAATTAATGTTTGTTTATTGCCGTCATCGACAATTATTCAGAAAGTCTGGACGTCAGAAATACACACATCAACACTGTCTAGGGATATTTTGAATTTACTCAATTATCTCAAAAATTATTAAAGATAACATACAACACGTGTATATTTTTATAAAGCCCATTTATCTGACTATACTCCAGAATAAAAAAATCCTTATTATTTTGCGTAAACAATTTTATACTTAAATAAAGAAAAAACGTAAAATAATGGTAAAACTAACAATGTATGTGTTTCTCAATAAAATGTGAAAAATAAGGAAAAGTTATTGTTTTTAACAGTTAGGTATGTGAAAAGTCAGTAGTCTGTAAAACCACCCATGACATTTATAACGGTCCTGCAACGATTTTTCATACTATGGATTAAGTTATCCAAGTCTTGCTGCGATATATTGTCCCAGGTCCGGCTAAGACGCAAAAAAGTTGCTCTTCGGTCGCAATGTTTGCAGGGAAATTCCTGAAAGCCCTTCTTTGGAGCATGTCCCACGCGTGCTCTATGGGGTTTAGGTCTGGTGACTGAGCGGGCCAGCCTAAGACCGATACGTCGTGTTCCTGCAACCATCTCGTCACCACTCTCGCTGTGTGCGGACGAGCGTTATCGTGCATGAGCGTGAATTCTTGGCCCATTTGTAGTCTATGGGGGTAGATTATGGGCACTAGCACCTCGTTACGGTATTTTTCAGCCGTCATGGTGTTTCTGATCCAAACGAGGTCTGTTCTTCCACCAAGACGAATTCCCGCCCAAACCATAATCGTCCCGCCGTGGTATGAATGGACTTCCTGGGGATGTTGCAGACGGCTATCACGACCAGGGACTCGCCAAACACGTTCTCTACGTATATCGGGATGGAAACCGAACCGGGACTCATCGGTAAACAGCACTACACACCACTGGTTATCTTCCCGGAGCAAATGTACACGAGCCCACTCTAGTCGTCGCCAACGATTTTCTCGGCGTAGTGCTGGAGTACGAAGCGGGCTGCGAGCATGAAGGTTAGCTTCATGCAGCCTTCTCCTCACAGTTTGGTCACTCACAAGCAACTGGTGCTCTGACTGGAGCCTCTGAACCAACTGCAGGGCCGTAACATTTGGTTCTCTTCTCGAGGCAGCTTGCAAAAATCGGTCTTGACGTTGAGTGGTTATACGCTTCCCGCCTGGATGTCTTTCAGCCACTTCACCAGTAGCACGGTAGCGTGACCATAACCTAGATATCACGTTTTGTCTTGTTCCAATCTCCTCAGCAATACTCCGTTGAGTAGCCCCAGCTTGGAGCATGCCTACTGCCCTTAGCATTTCTTCTCTCGTTAAATGGCGCCGCTGCATGATGCACACAATAAGGTTTAACTCGAAATTAATCGATAACTTGTTATAAAACTTAAATTTGACACAAAAAAATATCCCAATATTACCGTAGGTAAACGAACCTTCGGACTTCGCTAACATTATGCCGCGTAAATCTTTTGTTTTTATTTTTTTTTTCAAATTCAAATTTAGAATCGTCCAAAAAGGTTTACAAAATAGTCTTTTATCAAAAGATCTTAAAACTGGCCAGTATTTTTTGAGTTTAAGAACTTTATACAAAATATCCCTAGACGGTGCTGATGTGTGTATAAAACAACAGTTAAAAAAAATGCAAAATTAGATATAATATTCTTATCATATTTATTTTATTATTATATTTTTGAAAAATTAAAGCTATGTTGTGGTAAAAACACGATAAATAAATTTAAAAATATATTATTGTTCGGGTCCCAACAAAAAAAATCATTCCCTTCACACTTTTACCTTCACTCGATTTGTGAACGCATTTTTAATCTTTGGTAAATGCATTTAGAAGTTTTTGTAAGTTAGCGGCACTGTAAACGTTTCAAAATGACGAAATTCAACTTGTGTTTGTAAAAGGTTTCTACTACGAGAAGATTTAATTTAAAATTCTAAAAGTTTTAACAATAACATGTTTGACAGTCATTACCTCACATTTATTTAGAAATAAGTTAAGCATTTTATTTATTAATTATTCACTCAGATGAGTTATTGGTAGTAGTACCTAAGCTTACACAAAATATTAAGTCAAAAAGCAAGTTTATTTATATCGCTATTTTTTGTTAGTTTATTTTCATTTCGTCATTCCTGTATATCATCAAAAACTACTTACATAAGTACAGTTAAGAAGCCCATCAAGCTTGACACTTTATACTTTGGACCGTTTTCAACGTAAACGGCATAGAGTTGGATTTAAGTCTTAAGTGTCAAGCTTTACGTGCTCTTGACCCTGTACTATGAAATTTACAAAAAATAAATACAAATTCTTCCTAAATATTTTCATAAATATCAAAAGCACATATTTCGAAATTTCATGCGTACTGCACAAATATGAACTACCTCACAAATGAACAGGACATTTTTCAACGAAATCGTTGACACTGATATGATATATTATTTGAAAAATAAATGTTTTAATTATCAGGTTGCAATCCAATGGCGAGAGACGCCGGAGGCAATACTGCTATTCATTTGGCTGCCATGTACCAAACATGCTTGGAACCGCTGTTAGAAGCACTGAATAGAAACAACGTTGAGTTCGACCTAAATGCTTATAACCAAGGTACATATACGTTTCTATGTAATAACTATTGATAACACGACCTTGATCGCAACTAATATGTTACCTTTCTTCGATTAAGTCGATAAAGTGTTCCGAATGATCGAAAGGCTTAGATGATTAATGGAATCAGTCGTTACTTTGCGGAAATAAATATTAATTAAAATGGAAGTCAATTGCTATTGCTACTCTGTGAACCCAGTAAAGGCTAAATAGTGCAAAATAGATGCGCTTGTGTTGATTCTTTTTTCAAGCAATTAATTTTCCCACCCTTTCTCCACCTAACATTAGTAAAATAAATAACGCAAGCGCAACACACAGTAAAACCACCACCACCATAACCTAACCTACGGTTAAAAAACCGGCCTCAAAAGTCATTCATCCCCTAGTTTGCCACCCTTAGAGGTGGAATATTTTCTTGAAATGGGACCCACATCTGAGGTACCTTCTTTCCAACAAAAAATAATCATCACAATTGGTTCACAAATGGCGGAGTTATTGCGTAACATACATACAAAAAGAACATACAGACGAATTGAAAACCTCCTTTTTTTTAAAATCGGTTAAAAAATATACTCAACACGTGTTTAGTTTCTACGAGGTAGATAGTTCGACGCATGGCCGAAGTTTTTTCACTGTTCTATAATGCACGATTTAAACTTCACTGGGTTTGCGGAGTAGCAAATTAATGTACTTCATTTTTATTAAGAGACTAAAGAATTTTGTGCTGCGTGGTTAGGATTGTTCGTGGTTTAAATGAAAGTTGAGGTCCACGGTTGGATCACGGGTGCTCCTTTCTTATTTAGTTTTTACAAAATGTATATAAAATCCACAAGTAAAATTAAAAGAAAATAATTTCATTGGAAGATGGAAGAGAAAAAGCGGGCGTGCTGTCTTTTTTTATTTCTTCGTATATCACTTTAATTTTTACAATGTTTAATAAATTCTTCAATATAAGTTTTTGGTATCGCAGAGAAGCAGACAGCCCTGCACGTGGCAGTGATTTACTCGCAAACGTTTAGCGCGGTGCAGTTGCTGGCGGCAGGCGCGAGCGTCGCAAAGGCTAATTTTGATGGCCGCACGCCGCTGCATCTCGCTGCCGCATATTCGCGGGTCGACATCGTAAAGGCGATTCTCCAGTACGACAAGGTATGTGTTTGCCCTAACACTTATGCCAGGGCCACACTAAGGTTTAATGGTATTCATTATAGCTTTTTTTTATAATATCAAGTGTCGGGACGAACAAGTCTTGCGCCTGATTGTAAGCTACCATCAGGCCATAACAGTTGCAGTATCACTCAGAGCTTTGAGTCGCAAAGATCTGAGGGGCACTGCCACTGCGCCCGTCACCTTGAGATTTATGTTCACAAGTTCCATGTGTCTGTAATTTCACCAGCACCCTTACCCTTAAAAATCGGAACGCAGTAATGCTAACACTACTGCTTGGCGGTAGAAATAGGTAAGGTGACAGTACTTCCCTGAACGAACTCTTTCACAAATAGCTCTACTGGTACTGCTGCTCTACTGCTACATTTATGGGATGCTTATAAGCAATAACGTTTCAACGAACATGACCTGAACATAACGTGTCATTCATTGAGATTTCTTATCAGAGACTAAATAAATAATGTAAACGGATTATGTGTATAACGTCATTTTGAACTCTACCTCACATATTGCCTTAAAATTCGCTCAGATTACTTGCTTTAAATCCTATACCATTTCAAATCAACTCCAGGAGAGTGAATGGAATATTTTCTTTTTTTTTTAAATTTAGAGAGATTTGGATGCTGTGGATGGCAGAGGCTGGACTGCACTGCAGATAGCGTGTAACATCGAAGTCACCGGCGATTCGCTCGCAGTCATCAGGTGTTTGCTTAATAACGGGGTGAGTATTTATCAGACATCTATTAAGTTGCTATGTTATTATTAATATGCAAGATACGATAAAGTAACCTGATTTTCCTTCAGAAGACGAGACTAGAATTCCGGATTATACATATAATCTCATTTCATCTTATTAGTGATTTCACGACGGTTTATTGTCTTCTAGGTGACATATTATTATGCAGTAGTAAATGTGAAGCCGTCGTCGTTGTAGTCGTGAGATTCTGAAATTTATTTATATGGAAATAAAAATCGTTTATTCCTGAAAATACCTGAGCGCTAACACGTATCCACTCAATACCTATGCCAGCTGATTCCCTTTGCTAATATTCTTCGTCAGTAATATGTGTTAAACTTTCTCAGGCGAATCCCACGACTCACAAGGTGGGCACTATTTCAGCACTAGTGCTGGCTTCGCACCAGCCGCAAATACGTGCCATATTTCAAGAATTTAACTTCAAGGCAATGGTACCAGACAAGGAATCTGAAGATGAGTTTGAGTCTGCCGATGAAGGCGTAAGTAATTTGTGATTCAGGTGAATTATGTGCGATATGCAAAATACTAAAATGCCTTTTGAATTTGGATGTGTATCTACCTAAATATTTTTAGTTATTTGCCTGTTGTTAGAGAAAAGATAGAAGAACAGACTGGCAAGTGACCCTAGAATCCATTCAAGAATTAGAGAGTCACCACATTTGTTTAAACGGAACCGCAGAAAAGACTTTATGTCCATGAATAAGGTCGGAAACGACGTGCCTTTCGCACCGGCGGGCGGCGGTTCGAGCGGAAGCAAAACGCGAAGCGTCTTTTTCGCTGTATTACATGGACATGAAGCTTTTTGATCGACTTAATGCGATTCAGTATCGATAAGTATGGTGACACCCTTAAGAGTTTATACAACCTCAAATGGCTATGGTTGATACCGCATAACAGTGAAAGTGTTAAATCACTCAATTAATTTCGTTTGTAAAAAAATAAATTCTGAAGTAAAGCCAGTGTTCCTGACGCTCGAGCCAAGCGAAATGAACCGTATTAGTATACGGGAAAAATTTGAATTCGAACTGCGGTAGTCGATTGACTCGACTCTTTTATTATTATATTTATAAATACACCATTTTTAATGTGCGGGACACAGATGGGTACGAAAGGGAAACGTAGTAAATGGAGCCATACTTATGGTCTATTGGGGAGTAACATCTTTTCCCAAGAGGCATACATGTCCACACACAGGCTTTGCTGGTTCATATACTGACGTTTGGTAATGAAAGTTGGGTAGGGCAGAAGAAGCATGAAACTAGAATTAATGCAGAGGAGATAAGATCTTTGATACAATAATACGTGAAAGATATGGCTTGAAAGAGAATGTGGTGACTACAATAGATAAAGGAATGTTGAGGTAGTTTGGGCATGTACAGCGGTTGGATGTAAAAAGAATTACTGAACAGATTTGTGATGCGAATATGGATGGAAGAGTTTTAAGAGGACGTCTCAGAAGGCTTACATTGATCAGATCAGAGATGTCCTTAAAAAGGCTGGGATCCGAAGTGACAAGAATAAAAGAAGTTATATGAAAAGTGTAGTTGATGTATGTGAACGAAAGTTATGTCAGGCTAGAGTAAGGTGGCGTTCCGTGGTCTCTGCCTACCCCTCCTGTGGGACAAGGACGTGAGCTTATGTGTATGTATGTAATGTGTGAGACACGTGTACAGCAGCGGAACGATTCTAATGTTGGCGATAATTTCATTGTTGTTTTATAATTTTTAGGACTTTGAAGAGGACGTAACTTCGCAACTAGAGGTTTTGAAATTGAGCTAAAGACCAAATGTGCTAATGTGTTCATCATAAGAAGAAAAATGAAAGCGCAACACGATTTGTAGTAAATATAGTAACAAATCCATATACTTTATTTGGTAAGGATAAATGAAGTTCTTTTTAAGACAAACCAAAGCGTGTTTTTATGCAATACGAAAGCAATTTGATAACTTCTCGTAAGCCTTGGTGCTAATACGTGCTTTTAAACAAGTTTTATAATAATTTTGGTCACTTTGTTATTTTACGAATATTATTATTGTACTATTATAATTAATAAGGTTTACATTCATGTTTCCATAGTTAATCATGTAAGCCTTGTTCCTTACAAAAGCTGGTTTATTCGAACGTGAAAGAAATTATTGACAATTAGGCCTATATTTTAATCTAGTCTTAAAAAATGAAAGAAATGCCCTTTTTTTGTTTAATTTAGGTTAAGTGAGACAATATCTTTATAGTGTATGTTATAGTATGTTAATAACGGTCATTGCCCCGAGTTCATTCCGAGATCACAATTAAACACCGACCGGTCGCCGATCCCTATAAATAATGCAATAAAGTCGCAAGTATAACGTAATAAAAACCATAATGATATTACTTAAAAAAAGTTAAATTGGGGTATATTACTTTGGAATATATTTATTATTATTTTTTTAGTTATAGAAAATAAACAATATGAATTACGTTACAATATACCACATCATATTTTATTAAAACTCAGTGCATAAAAACTTTAATTCAATTAGTATTTAAATACGCAAATTAATTTATTTACATTTTCAACATCCATACAAAAATGCCACGATTCTCTAAAAAATAGCAAATAACTATTTCCCATTATATTTATTGTATAGTATTTTTTTAAATTTATGCTAAATGGATCCATGACACATGTACTGAAGTACTGTAGATCTTTAGCGTTTCCATTACGAAAACTAGAACATAGTTCTCCTTAACGAAATAAAAAGATACATAATGTTTTCTATGTATTGCTATATAATAGTTTCACTATATCATTCTCAAAGCTACACATAACTCACGTTGTTGGTCTCAAATAACTTACCTATTTATTTCTTCACACTGTTTTTGCGAAAATCTAATTATCTCAAAAGTGACATTTTGTGGGTTGGTTCTAGTTTGCATAACTATGTCCAAATATATGTCTACAAATTACTGTCAAATAAGTAATACTCAACAAAATTAAAAGGCGCGTGATGCGAATGAAACTTCATACTTGATATTATCTTTTAATATGGTAGAGTATAACTTATTTGACAGCAATTGATTCGAACGGAGAATGAGAATACATCCCCAGAATCGAATGACTGAGCTAAGGAACGAACCAGCAGAGCATAAAAATCTTTCTATGTGCGTGTTGCAGATTTTTGTTTTAGTTATTAACGACTTTTTTCCGTAGCACCATTTAAGAGAAATGTATGAGTTTTTCTTCATTTCATTAATATTTATGTTTTTACCTACTATCAAGCTATAGTTTAAAGTTCTCGTAGGTCACCTGTACGTCGAGGTAACTTCTATCACGATACGCTAACACTTTCGCATGTTACTGTGAACACGGGAGAGTATCGTATTGTTTCGTGGTAGGAAGGGGTAAATGATCGCTATTGACAAGCTGTATAATCACTATAACCTATAATACGTACAGTGACTCTCGACATGTAATGTAATATAATTTTAATTATCTAATTTATTGTACTGACAGTACCAAAACCGATATCAAAAGTTAGTACTAATATATAATAACGCAAATAAAATTACTTTTTAATCATTACATAAAGGGTGGCACCCTTACAGGTGAAATTTCTTCAAATGTTAATGTGACCACTAGTGAAGTACCTTGGCGCTAGTACGTCTTTGTGTATAAGCGTGTAATTTTAAATTCAAATGACTCGATTAAATGTGAATAACTAAATGAAATTATAATATTGTCAATACGTACATCAATAATGTAAGAGCGAGCGGATCGTCCTTAAGGGGCATCATATTGTACTAACGGTATTAATTAATTATCTATTTATGACTTCCCTATAAATGTGCAAGAAACAACTATTGAAAATACGTTGGGCATCACTTGGATGTGTTTTTTTTTCTAACGTTGTTTTATAAATGGTTTTCAATGTTTCTACTGAAAAAAAAAATTGCTAAAAAGTTACCTATTATAGGTATTTTAGATAGTTTGCATCTGGTATACTTTCATATTTCCTCATATAATCCTAGTTTTAAAAAAATGTATTGGATCTAATTGCCAGTATTTTGTGCTAATAAACTTAAGCGTTAAATAACTGTATGTGCCCTTTTTGTACCAGACAGTTTATCCAAAGAAGATATTTAAAAACATAACAATAAAACTAACAATAAACTATATTTCAAAGCCTTTATAAACAGAGTATAAAAATTTGAAATTAAAAAATTTGTATTTCTATAAAAATAAAAAAAAATAAATTTCTTGTGACATACAATACTGTAAAAATACAAATTAATATAAAAACAAACTTGTGACGTTGATCAGGTTTTCAATATAATCTCGGCTACAAAGGACTACGGAGTACATAGCTCTCACTGATAGTCGGCCATAGTCAGGAAAGACTAAGTACCTCAAAAAACTCTACATACGACAACAATTAAAATACAATAAAATAATAAATACATTCAAGAACAATGCAACATACTATTATGATACATGTACATTTCTATCACATGTTATATTATTATTTATTTTGAAATGAAATTGAAAATACTTCTAATTGCAATGGTTTATACTTCTTGATTATTTAATTTTATATACTGGATTTGTTTCATATTAAATAGTTAAGATGCAATGTGGCTTACTATTAAAGTTTTGTATTTTATTATTAATTAAATGAAATAAAACATTTGGTTGATTGAACTCTCTTGTCCAAAAAGTGACTGACTAGTCATTGTTTTGTTTTTCAAAACATTCAAAATTGTATTTAGATTTTGTTTATTTAATTGTATTTATGTAGATTTAGATAGAGTTTCAATCGATCAATGATAAACAAATATTGGCCTTTAATTTGTTAAAGTTAAAAAAAACCACAGTATTATATAAATAAATAATTTTTATTGTATGAATATACAGATTTTCCAGCAGTGTACATAAAATAACTACATGGCGCCTGGCGGTCTTAGGAAGAAACGAACATTGGAAAGGTTAGGTTAATCACAGTTTTTGAATTTAATAAACTTAATTGCGTTTTTAGTTAATTTTATTTAGAATTAAAACGTATATGTATAGTTTGTTACAGATTATTACATGCAATATTTTCTTTTTGAGATGAAACATGTTTATAAAAATAAACAATGAGAATTGTAATTTAGTACAGCCGTTCGATTTTAACAAAATTTGTTCATTTTAGATTCATTGCAAAAATACTCTTTCGATGAAACAATTAGATCCTGTAATGCTAAAAATAAGAACAATAACTATGGTGAAACGTCGCTTATCTACGACATTCGACACTCAAATTTGTGCAAAAATATGTGTTGTCCTCTGTGCCTGGACCACGAATGAGTACTCTGATGCAGCAGTACAAAATTATAGGTACCTAATTATGGAATGTCAAGCGAAATACGGGAAGGTTGACAGCCCTACTTTCCATAGGAACCCACGGAAGTAGGATTTCAAATCACTGCATATCAGTAGCTACTTAAAAAGTGTAGATACACATAATATATGAGAACATGAGCTTCTAAGGCCCCAACTATTCAATTTAAGTAGGTGTACATGAAGAGCTTTAAAATAACACTCGCTTAACAAATATAATTTACGCAAGCTCAAAAAAATATAGGTAATGAAATTGGCCCTTACTTGAACAAGTAAGTAAGATGATATCTTGTACTGAGTATTATTACACTATTTTGTATTATATTATGACTATTTTTGTGATGTTCGCTTCAGAGATTGAACGATCAAATTGCATGGTAGTCTGTAAATTCTGAAATAGAAGATAATTCGATTTTTTGGGTTTATTTGTTTACTAGGTAGTTCCCTTAATCACACTCACAAAACATTACATAAGTAAAACTAAAAACAATCCTTTCAATATTATTTTTTATTCGTAAATAGATGTAAGTACTCTGAATCATCAATTCCTAGAGATGAACGATGGCCTTGAGCAAAAATAAACTATAAGGTAATTTCCCCACTTACATAGTACCAACATTCAGAAAATGAATACTTGGCAGTTGCCATCTTTTGCCACTACGCAAATTTAGTAAGTATTGCTACCACAGAAAGTAAATAAATTTGCCTATTTATTACACTAGATTTCTGTGGTTGCTACATGTGTCAGGGTCGTTTTCAGATAACCTCCAAAAATGTGTCTCTTTCAATAACTTTTATGTTATTACATGAATACTAAGCATTATTTATTTAATATGATTGCTTGCTTACTTAGTCTGTGTTACACATGAAAAGACTACATTACTACGTCGCAGTATAAATAAAAATTAAAGAAGTGGGCAATTTCTTATTCATGGGAGCCGGTTCCACGTCGCTCTAATTTTAAGAAAAGAAGAAAAAAATTAAACACTCGTGGAAATTGCAATATTTCCCATCGAGACTAAACTCTAATAACTTACACGTCGAATTCATACCGTAACTTTCCAATTTATTATAAACAAACATGTTTTCTTGGGAATACAAAATGTGTTTCAATTTTTCTTATCATTAGTGTCAAAAGCCTCCTAATAACAAAAGTTAATGCCGCATCACCTTCACCCTTCGCACACGTGAGAAGGGGCTCCTGTCGGATTGGAGTGTACACAGTGAAGTAACCTGTCCATCTTCGTTTTAGCATAAAACCGACTCAAATACCAATGTCAGCACTAGTGATTAAATCGTTCTCATTCATGTAAAGCAATCTATGTAAATAAGTATCAAGTAATAGTTTTATAAACTTTATTGTACCTACATCAATTAGACAAAGGGAACTTTAAAATCGATGCACTTTTATATCGGACCAGCATATTTTATACACTTGACAATTAAAAATATAACCAAATATCATTATTGTCGCACTCATCTTGTCTACTTTTAAGTCAAATTACTACTACTACTTTTAAGTAAAAAGTTACTTTAAGCCAAACATTTACTTGAAATATAACAATTAAATGGTGATAGTGGTGGTGATAACGGTGGTGACGATGATGATGGTGATGATGATGACGATGATGATTGTAGTGATGATGACGATGATTGTGATGATGATGTGAATGGTAATGAAGCTGATGATAATGGTGATCATGATGATGATGGTAATGATGATATATTGATGTACAACAAAGTTTATATGACATTAATAAAATACTTATTTAGATTTATTTATTAATTACGTATATATAGATAGATGGTCTTACACGGATGGGAAGGATTTTGATACTACAAGAAGTTATATTAAAATATTTGTTACATGTTAAATGTTCTTTTGTGAACGATAAAATGTGTGTTTTAGTAATAATTTCTCATTACTGTGCTGTCTTTCTCATTTACGTTTATGAGAAAATCATTCGTGTTACTGCAATCTCATTCGTGTGACCAAAAATATAGTTTTTTGTTGTATTTACCTGAAATATTTTTGTGATTTTATAATTGCTTGAACGTATTTGTACGTTTAAGACCTTAAAACCAAAAGAAAAATGGGTTTTACAAAAATCACTCAAAAAGTGCCATTGAAATTCACCCGTCAACGGTCTTTGAATTAGTATGTTTTACGATACCAAGTGACGGGCGGGACGAACGAGTCGTGCACACAAACTAATAAGAGATCGTGTCGCTTAGACACGATCTCTTATTGGTTTGTGCGCTTGTCCATAGCAGTTGCAGTGCCTCTCTGAGCTTTAAATTGGGGATGCACATTACGATTCCATTTTTATGAAGATCGATTTAAGTGTATATGATCTAGCAATTTTTTATATCAATTCATTTTAATGCGATTTATAAACAAATCGTTTCGACATTGAGGCGAATTGAATCGTCGAGATAGTATTTACAATTTAAACAAAAAGCTTCTTTCTGAACCCCTACTGAATCGTAAGGTAATTCTGTTTTATATTGGTCTGTAAGAAAAATAGTTGGCCAATCTATTTACAATAAGTTTACGGATATTTGGCAATTTCTTGCTATGTCTGTGCCATCTCAACGCCTTTTCTCACTGGCTAATACAATTTTAAATTAAAACCGTAACCGATTGACGTCGAATGGGCTGTCAAAATTATAATTTTTTATCAATATTAATTTTGAAACGATATTTTTGAGATCGATTGTTTTAGACACTGAGACAGAAGTTGACAAGTCCTACATGCCTGTAATTTAACAAGGATCCTTCAATACCGGAACGCAGTAATGCTCACGATACCGCGTGGTGGGTTGCGGGTACTGTTGGGTTAATTTTCCGAAAAATTTCAAATAGTGGAAGTTTATTCGGAGAAAATCTGAAAAATTTTCCAAAATATAATTCGAAGGCTCATATTATGTTCTTCGTTTTGGAATATCTTTTGAAGTTTTCTTTACAGTAAATTATAAAATAAAATTGTACAGCTAAAAGCGTTAGAGAAAAACGAGATTTAAAATGATAGTACAACAGCGAAAAACGAGTATCGTAAGTAAAAGATATTAATAATGGCTCAATCGTTTTCGTTCAGTATCTTCAACTTTTGACAGGTGTCAACTGTCAAATATGGAAGGAAAAATATTCGGAAAAATGTTTAATTTTAAAAAATATGGTTTTTTCAAAATGTTAATTTTTTTCATGACCGCCATGAGCGCATAGTCGCGAGTGCTATGGACACACACGCAGACAATCACAAATTACACCTAAACTCACTAAATAAATGTAGCCCATACTAATATTTCTCCGGGCCGGGAATCGAACCCTGCGTGGCAGACCAGCCATTATTGAAATCGGTTAACGGAAATCGGGTGAAATCCAATAAACCGGATTCATCCTCTAATTTGACAAACTTACAGGTGAATTTTCTTCAAATTTCAATGGGACTAATAATGAAGTACTACTGTAAGTACTGTCTTTCTAACAAAAGAAGAATCATCGAAATCGGTTTACAAACGTCGGAGTAATTACGTAACATGCAAAAAATACTCCTTTTTGAAGTCGGTTAATAAGAATATTCTTATTGCCACGTATATATTAGAAATATATTAGAAACAGGAAAAGGACCCTCTGAACTTTCGGCCACGGCGGCAGTTATTTGTTTTCATAAATGACACTGTTTTTATACAATATTTTAGTTTATTATATATTTTACAATTATATATTTTGTCTGTAATCTGCCAATATTTATATTTTAAACCTTAGGTGCAATGTCCCATAAATTTAATGATTTATTTTATTTTATTTTTATTTACTTTTAATACTCTTAATTTAGTAATAAAACTTTTTTTAAATATCAATCAATCAAAGAACTTTATTTTTTCAACAAGTTGTTTTTTAGGCAGACCATGGACCTTGGCTTGGGAAAAATTAAAAGCGCTGAAATTACATTGCTGAATTTTAGTGGATGTAACGTTAAGCTTAACATAAATCCAATGGTTAGACTGATAAATGTAAGAGTGTAACTTGTTATGGCAAATATTAAACTGTACATTTTTTTGTTCACCTCCTAATTAGACCGTTGTAGGTAAGCGATTTATCTTATTAACCTTTTGTTCTTGATGTAACATAATACGATTTGCATTAATTTCAAAATCAAGAAAAATGTATCTATTTTTTTAAACTGTAAGCACGCTCAATAATCAGGAAATGAATGCCGTAGTAATGGCAACTTTTATTCATGGTAAGCGTGACGGGACGGTTCTAGATTGCAATCATGCCCTGATTGCTGCTAATCAATTTAAAAATTATTGTTTGTGAATAATCGTTTCTTTGAGTTTAATCTCTATTTACACTCATTTTTTATTATTTATACCTATAAACACAACAATTCATGAAATTCAATTAATGAAGTACTGAATTTACGACATAGGTTACCTACTTAATGCTGTACATAGTATAAAAATTATACAAAATGTCTGGAAGTGATGAAGATATGAGTGCGATCTCAAATATTTTAAGTGCGCCTGAGATATCTTACTCGCCCCCATCTCAAATGGTACCGCAGCTCACCATGCCATCGACAAATAAGGACGTGTCTTTGCACGGTACAGTATAGTTGACTTTTTTAATGTTATTATTATTCTAATTTTATTATAATACTATCATATATTTTTAATATAATAAAGCAATCATAATTTTATTATTTCTTTAAAAGTATAATTTTTCCCAGACTCATTACTCCAATGCAATCGTTTTGGATCCGCGCCACCCAAAAATTATTGTCTCTAAAAGTAATACATTTTTACTCAGACTTACTTTTGACTTTTTCGTACGCACAGTAGATGTAGCCGCCATTTTGATTTTGCCGATTCGGCTCGACAATAAATATTGATTCTTCGATTACCTAGTCGATTTGTCTATCTCGAAATCTCGAATCATCATCTTTGTCACATATTCGATGTCAGATACTATACAACTTAATTACATTTGAGTGGCATTTTAGTTATTAGTTTAGTACAGATACCTACCTACTACCAGAGTTGTTGCTGATGCAGGGTTATTATACATCAGCGGATTCTTATTTTTTACCTTAATATCAGCGAATGCTCATTTTATGTCTTAAAAAAAAACGCGAATAGTATATGTATATCCTCACTGAATCTATTTACATGAAAAACTTCTCTTTTTTCTTTAGTATCTTAATTAAGTATTTCAATGATTTTGTGACATTAAACACAGGAATCAATCTGCATGAAAACAATAAATCTGCCTGTGGAATTTTATCAATGCTATAGGTATTTAAAAAATAACAACTGAGCTGCTTTTCGGCTTATAGTTTGTTTCTGGAAGGCTTACTAATTATTCCAGCGTCTTTCAGCGTCAGTGCCTTTTAAGTCATGTCGCGACTCGAACTTCCGCATTGAATATCAGCATCCGTAATTATTGATGCTGATATTCGCAACAACCCTGCAACGTACGTGGGTAATAGGTACGTAATACGTACCTATAAAAAATACGTGGTATAATTGTCTAAAACGTAACTAGAATACTAGTTGGCCATGACCTTGAGCAAATGAGCAAGGTAAAGAAGCTATACTAGGCAGTTTTTGTATTAAAGGTGATTTGAGGTATATATATTCGAATTATATTTGTCAAGTACTATATCAATTATACATAAGAATATGAAATACACTCTGTCACTGGTCAAACTATACAATTGTGAATACAAACTATAACCCAAGTTACAATTTCAACAAAGAATGTTGACAGATTGTCATGGCTTAAGACGATTGTCAAGATCGCTCTTCAGGGGTGGCCCACTGTAATTAATTACACCTATCTCCACAATATATTAGTGTAGTGTTTATTAGCTCTTATGTCCTAGAATAACAATGATGTAATGTAATATAATTATTATTACATTCCAAAGCATTATATCATTAAATAATATCTAGTACTTATGATAAGTCTTTATCAATATTCGCAACAACTTCCTAAGTTAACTATTGTTAGTAAAATTTTTAGCACATTGTTAAATCCTGCTTGTTTATTTGTTGTACTACTGTACATCTCGTCTTTTGGTGATAGTCCCGCGATCGTTCTTAATGCCTCCGTCGGTTTTGACTGCAGCTCGTCTCTTTAGTGGTGTCCTTGACTATTGGATTCACGTTATCGAAAGTATACATGGTAAAGAAGTTGGAGTATTATGAAGGATTCAAGAAAAACTGCTGACAAGCCTGGATTTGAGACGCAGTGAGTACGTACTCTACATGAGAATCGTAAGATTAACATAATGTAGTACCTACCTACCTAGGTATAAGATGCTATGCTTTAGGAAACGAAGTCGAATGTAGCTATTTTGATTATTTGTATTACATTTAACGCCTGTGAAAATTTCGATGTCAAATCGTTCGTAATCACTTTTTTGACGGTGTCCAGTATAAAAAAACGAAAGATGTAATGAATATGAACTGTCACCAGTGTTGCCAGACGTTTGCGAAGTTAATTCGCCAATATATGTGTGTTAAGTACACGATGTTCGTCCAAGCTATAAAATCTCTAAAAATGAAGGAAAAAAATTCTACAATACTGCTTGCTGCCGGACATTGGGAAATATGAACTCTCTTATTGCACCAATTCCCAACACGTAGAAATACTCAAACCCCCCAAAATGAGTTATTTTACAACTCCATTCCCCACAAAATCCCCAATCAAATTTGTAATTCCGCAGACATTTTATTAAGTAGTCAAAATTGCCTTTTCCTATTTCAAACATAGCCTAAATATAGTATTTACTCGCCTTTTTATGTAGTTATGTCACATAACTTCGACATATTTCGATTTATTTATTTCATCAAAACAGAAAGCTGAAAGAATGTACCTTACATTTCTTAGTTTTTACTACACAATTGGTACGTAGGGCCATACCCTGAAGTACACAATCTGTCACCATTTAAAACCATGTTTAATAATGAAAACTGTAGCTGTGTCCTATAGTAGGAATTTGTATATCTAAATTCAGTGGAGCCGAATCTACGGATTATTAACGAGCCACAAAATGCAAGGTTTCGATACAGAACCGAGAGAGAGACAAGCACTCACGGCAGTCTACGTGGAGTTAAGCCTGGACGAAATGGTGGCAAGTCATACCCCACCGTTGAGGTAAACAAATTTACTATTAATATTAGGTCTAATTCGTTATTTAATTGCCGACGACGTGGCCGAACGTGTCCATGGCATCAACAACACGGTTTCCCTAGTGCGGGGATTGTGTTAAACCCTATGATTGTGTGAAATTAAAAATCACATTCTCCTTAAAAGTCGATACTACTTCGGCTCGAATTCAATTTTTTCCCTTACTGAAACGGTTCTATTACACAGGTCGAGCGGTAAGGAGACTGCCTTTATTTCAGAATTTATTCTTTTTTCATTGTATTTACTTCAGTTGATATAAAAAAAAAAACATTGGTGTATGTAAAGTACCTATTAAAAACAGTGGGTTTCTTGTAAAATTTCGCGGTAATTTTGTGTCTTTTTTCTATCGTGTACATTTTTAGGAATCGTGTGCTCACAGCGTATACTAATCAGTGTATAATCCTCAATTTTTTCAAAGTGATTGATTCAATACTAACTTTCAATGTTATGCGGAATCAACTCTTAAGATTTAGTGCCTGCGCCTGTGCCTATTGATTCGACATAAAAATTGCAATTAAAATTAATAAACAAAAGAAAACCAAAAGTTTATTTAATATAAATTACATGACAATATTCAAATGTGGTATATATTGTACAATTTTATTGACTTATGGAATTAGTGTACTTAAAGAATTTCGAATTAAAGCTGACAAGTTCCTTTCACTTGACTACGTTCAAAAAAGAAGGGTAATATGTCATGAACACTGAAAAGTTGGTGGCGATATGACTTTTAACGTCGTATTCGTGTTGTTTATTTATGAAATCTTTCTTTCATGTTCACAACATTGTGAGGGTCGAAATCAAGTTAGTCTTTACATTATTGTGATTTCACGATTATTAAGTTTGTTTTTTTTTTGTTACATTAGTTAAGAAATTACACGAACAAGGCAAGTATAAAGTGTACTCTGGTGCAAAAGGATAATACGTCAGAGCACCCACATAGCTTGCACAACGAGGAACAAGTGAATGAGGATGAGCCAGGTTCCACTGTCGTACCTGTTGATGGTCACTACACGGTGGGGTTAGCGATGTTTATTCTATTTTATATGCTTCAAAAACTCTTCCTTTTTATGACTGCGTTATAGTACAATATTCATAAAAGATGTTTTTAAATTAATCATTAATAGGAAATGAAATTATTTTTCCAAATTTAAATCACGTCTATTTGTTTTTTCAAACAAACCAATGTTTCGGGCCCTTTACAGGTCCCATGGTCACGGTTGACCATGATAATGGTCAATCATGGTCAACCGTGACCATTAAGGCTCATTTAGATGGAGAGAGTTTATCGCACGCTTCGTGACGAAAAATCGTACGCGATTATCGTAAGCAATAATCGCCATAAGATTATCGTATCATAATGTTTACATTCAGGCAAGAACTAAAATCTCGCCTACGATTATGTCATACGAGATTCGCAAGCAACTTAATCGCTCCCTCGACTGTTTACACAGAGAAATATGTAGTAAGGAGATTCTTGCTTACGAGTTTTCGATTTGTCTAAACACGATCTCGTATGACATTTTTTCAAGTTCATACGATTATCATACAAATCGGTTCGAACCGTTTTGAGTGCGAGGATTGCCATTCGAGTTCAGTGATTACTGCGGAATTGACTATGGATATATCAAAATGACGCAAAAATCATTCAAAATTGGAACTGCTGATAATATTAAGTTCATTGCACTGTATAGAAATATACATTTATTTATTTATTTTTTTCAAATTTTATAACATATCTTAATTCAAATTTTTTTTTCGTTCTCATTTCATTAATTCTTGTCTTAGAAAAGCAGTGATAATCAAAACACCCTCGCGCACTGCACTCGTGGTAGAAATGGCTGGCACAGAAACTCGAAATACGATTTTTGCTTTCGAGTTCTGTTTACACGGAGACGTTCAATATTCCAAAGCGAGGCGATTATCGCTCACGTGGACGGTCGATAATCGCGAATGTTTAGACGAGGAAAGTTTTTCATATTCTTTCGATAATCATATCTTCGAGATGATAAACCCTCTCCATCTAAATGGGCCTTTAATTTCCTGTGTAACAATCGCGAAAACCTAAGAAATAATCACTAATTTCATACAAAACTCACTTGAATCGTTAGTAAAAAGTTTTTTTTTTACTATTTTTTTAAAATAGATTTTAAAGTGACGGGACGAACAAGTCGAGATGGTAAGCTACACGCCTGAGTGACTCAGAGTCGTATTCTAGAACTCTACTCAATGCTCAATTCATGATTTGAGTATGGTTTAAAGCACTCGAAATCATACTCAAGTCCATGCCATTAGGGTCCTATTTCCAGTGTTTGTGTTGCCAGTGCAATCCTGACTTGAGCATTGAATAGAGTTCCAGAATACGAACCTCAGAGCTTTTGCAATCGCAAAGATCTAAGGGGCACTGCCACTGCGTCCGTCACCATGAGACATAAGTTGACAAGTCCCGTGTGCCTGTAATTTCACCAGCACCCTTACCCTTCAAAGCCGGAACACAGTAATGCTGACATTATTGCTTGGCGGCAGAAATAGGTAAGGTGGCAGTACTAACCTAGATGAACTCTTTCACAAGGAACTCTCCTGCTACTTTGAATGTGGAATAGCAATAACCATTGTATTTTCGAAACTATCGAGATAATCGTTATTTATCTATCATTATTAGTTTTGCGGGCTTGGGTGTCATACATCGTCCTAAAAAGGATATATCCATGTGGCTATATACAAGATTTCAAGAAAACGGCAACGATAATGTTACGGACAACGCGGTAGGTATAGCACTTCTAGTTTACTTATAGTGTTGACAATCGAATGTAGCTAATATGAGTATAATGTATGTGCTCAAAATGTATATATGTATATACAACAACTGTATTCACACGATAACGAGAATGAAGAATACTACTACACTGACTACAGTCTAGTAGAATTAGGTTTTTGCACAGACCACATGGTTTTTGGCATTGGTAACAAATTGGTCAACCAGAATTTTTTTTCCTACTGCTTTATTTATTATTTCATAAACCATATCACAAAGGCGTTCTTTTAGTTCTGAACTGAAATTCTATTGTTTACGGTATTCGCTACTGAATTGAAAAATTTAATTATAGTTCTGTACACAGAAGTCTGAGTTTAAAAAAAGGATGTATTTTTGCTAATTAAAAGAGTCCTTAACCGCGTCATTGTGTTCCTGAACAGAATAATGTTATAATATTTGTAAACCTATTAAAATTAAAATTATGTATTTCATTAAATAATATCTCCAAATGTTACAAAACATGTACAACCATTATCAAATCCATTACCATTTGCCAAAAAAGAAGTATTTTAAAAACAAAATATCAACTAAGTCTATCTTAAAATCTTGTACTATCTTATACTCGGTAAAGAATCATAAACACGGTACTCGACTTTAAGGAATCAGTATGCAACGATTGAATAAAATATTATTTTATTTTAATAGCTCTTGGAGCGATGCAGAGAGATGGCGAGAAACATCGACTTGAATGTCGTAAGGTTAAAATTTAGCGCTCACAATTATTATACGGATGAACCAATTTGCTCGCCAGTATACTCGCGACCAATACTCAACTTGAGTAAGTTACTAACTAGTGTATTGTAATTTATTACTTTTGTACGTGTCGTGGCCTGTCTCGATTTCCTGGATTTTGTGTCCAACGCAGGTGAAACAAAATGTAAATTGTAACTACCTTTGGGTTATGGAAAAATTTCCATTTTGAAAAAATAATATTTTTCCACATTAGAACAAACGGGTAAGAAATGGTACTTTCAAGGCTTAGGGAGTTTAGGAAAGAGGAACGATCATAGCAAAGGCAGGAAAAGGATAAGTAATTATGAGAGTATGTGATACGGGAACATGTGTACAGTGACACCTGTAAAAAATTGAAAATACACACATCAAAAGTGTCTAGGGATCAAGTGAATATTTTTGAAATAAAAATTATTTAAGCAATATTTACCAAATCCAGTCTTCCAGGACGACTTCTTACTTTAATGCTTATGTTTTATTTAACCGCTTACCCCTATATTTAATTAAAATAAACTAAAATTGATGTTTTTGCAAATTGTGGGAAAAAACTCAAATTAACGGCGTCAATTAAATGACAAAAAAATGGCGAAAATGATGATTTTGCTCATTTTTATAAGAAAATTAATAATCTGTATTTTCACCATTAACACTGAAACAATACTCTCTGCGTAAACTTGAGCATTGAGGTTACCCCTGATCCAAATGAGATCGGTTCTTCCGCCGATCCAAATACCGGCCCATATCATTATTGTTCCCCCACCATATGGATGAACTTCCTGACAATATCTCAAACGTTCATGACGTCCAGATGTTCTCCAAACTCGAGTACGTCTTGTATCCGGTCTCATACCGAAGCGGGATTCATCCGAAAAGCACACAGCGCCAGTCTTCTTCCTCCCAGTTTCTGTGTTCGCGAGCCCATCGTAAACGGGTCCTGCGATTGCAGGGTGCAATAGATGGAACTCTGAGCGGCCTTCGGGATCGCAGACCCACTTCACGTAAACGATTTCGGATTGTTTGATCGCTTATTAGCAAGCCTGAGGAGCTGTGGAGCCTCGTAACCAACATCATGGCGGTCATGGTACGATTCCGTCGAGCAGTATTTTGGATATACCGGTCCTGTCTGCGAATCGTGATGCGAGATCGTCCTCCATGTCACTCGGCCACGCTGCCCGTCATGCGATAGCGCGTCCAGAGGCGACTTATGACGCTCTGTGTAGTGTTAAGAGTGAAAGCCACAGCACGTTGCCTGGAACCAGCTTCCAACATTCCGACGGCTCGCATCATCACATCTCGGGTTAAATGATGTCGTCTCTCCATAATAATGTAAATTGTTTCGGTTCCGATGCAGATATTGTAATGATTTTGTTAAAACGCTATAACTCATTTTTATACAAAACCACATTGACAATCGATTTTCTTCTTATTATCGAATTTTAAACAATATTCCTTATTTAAATGTTAAAACTCACTAAAAAGTATCAATAGCGATACAAAAAAGTTAATATAATTAACCCTAATTGCAGCAATACTCTTAAACGTACTTGATCCCTAGGCACTTTTGACGTGTGTACAAGCCGTGGTAGCCTTGACCCACCACTTCTCAAGCAGAGGCCGTGGCTTTTAATCCGAGCTCCTCGTGAGGTTGTCTTTATGTGCGAAATTTAATTTCAAATTTACCATGAGCTTTTCGGTGAAGGAAAACATCGTGATGAAACCGGCACGTCGAAGAAGGTTCACAACTCTCGGAAAACGTGTAAAGTTCCTAACCGCATTGGGCCAGCGTGGCGGACTATGGCCCTAAAATTACTCAACACTTTACTACACTTTCAAGATACATCTTGCCAATTTAAGAATATGGAGTAACTTGATGGATCCTGTTGCCTTTTTAATTGAAACGCGCATTGTATATTCGTTCGATTCGTTGTGTAGGGCTGTGATATTTCGAAATGTTTTTTCAGAAAGCGTCGCCACAAACCAGTTAGTAATACAGTACCACATGCCTATCTCAAGTAGTGCCAGAGGAGGTGAGGATATGGTTTTCCTCACATCAAGAATTAGTAAAAGTAAGTAAAACGAAAATTACTTATGGACTTCTGCATAGTACTTTTTTGTGATACCACGGGACTAACATGTCGTGGGCCTGGTAGTAAACGACATACCTGTCCATAATAGTTGCAGTGCCACTCAGAGCTTTAAAACGCAAAGATCGGGCGGCATTGACACTGCGCCCGTCACCCTGAGACATAAGTTGACAAGCCCCATGTGCCTGTAATGTAATAAAGAGATTTAATATATTATGTGATGTGTGAATTAAATAAATATCAAGAAGATCTTGTTTATTTATTAGGCACACCAACAGTTATTACAATATTTCATGTATTACTGAATACATTTCTCCTGACAGTGGCGGCGGTGCGCACTGTGTAAACCTGTAAGTCACCACTTGGTTGCGCCAGCGTTAATAAGATGATAATACTAGATAGTTGAGATGGACTGTAATGGTATTTTTTGATTATGATGTTGTCAATGTGAGCTTGGTTTTGGTTTGGAAATGTGTAACAATTATTATGAACACGTTCTCTGGGTGCACCAGCACCAGTGCAGTACGGACAATTTGCTCATGAGGCGGAGTGTACTATCGGTGAGCACCCAGTACTTGATGTTGGATTTCGGGTTATGCTACAAAATGCACGCCGTTTCGAGAGAAAGTGCCACAGGTAATTTTGTAGCCCTGTGCATAATCAAATTTTCATCTCTCTCTGTCTCTCTCTCTCCCTCTCCCCTTCTCCCCCTCTCCCCCTCTCCCTCTCTCCCTCTCACCCTCTCTCCCTCTCTCCCTCTCTCCCTCTCTCCCTCTCCGTCTCCTTCTCCCTCTCTCCCTCTCCGTCTCCTTCTCCCTCTCTCCCTCTCCGTCTCCTTCTCCCTCTCCGTCTCCCCATTGGCACGCATATCACCCTCGGCGACGTCAAGCCAGCACTTCTTGGGTCTGCCCCTTCTACCGGGGCCCGGCGGAGCACTATGGAAAATGATACAACAACGGCATATCAAACATCGTTTTTACTTAAGTCGTTATTGACGCACTTTCATTTTTTTTTTATTGTATTACAGTGGTACTTTCATATAATGTACTAATTTTGCGTGAATTGCATTTGGAATACATATTTCTAACTGTGATAAATTGTAATTCGTAACAATGTCTATTTCAGGTCGGTTCGCTTCAATACTTTAAATTTCATTTCTTTCAAAAACTTGTGCGAATCTTACAATAATAACGCATAGAAACCTAGCCCGCACACGCTAAGTGACGCAAATTGTAGGACGCGGAATGGGCGTTTTTATGTAAATATTCACTAAAACAGAAAATTAATTTCGTTGCAACAAGATACGAAAATGTTGCAAAGTAACGGGTTTTTTCTCCCCATTTTGCTATTCTGTTTCAAAATAATTATATTACGTAATTTTTTGAGAATAGGCAATATCGCGACCGTTGCAAAATTTCTACAAATGTACACCGCCGCAACAACATTGTAGGGAATTTACGTTAGCTATTTTTACGAAATATATTTAGTATTTGCCTTCCTTAGTTTCATGTGAAAAATCATTATTCTTGTTTATCATACACTCATTTAAAAAAATTGTCTTGCCCAGACTCAAAAGTTCATAACTAAAATTATTTCAGGAAACTAACACTGACTAAAAAGTCATCATCAGTTCTCCAAAATCGTGTATAAATAACTTTCAGGTTCAGGTTCTTAATTGTTATCGTGTACTTGTCATATAAACATACCCACAGATAATATCAGGCTATTTATATATTCAATTTCGATAGTCGCACTTAAACTCGCTTGTAGGTTTTTGTTCATATATGAGTTAAATAAGAATTGGGTAGTATTTAATAAGGTGCCTACAGATTTGCTCGACATTGTCGATCGACAGTAACGATTGACAATTATAGACGTTTTCGAGGAGTTTTAGAGTGTTTATTACGAATGTAGCATTAATTTCTAAATCCAAGATGGTTGACAACAATTTTCAAAAATGTATTTTTGGTAAACTATAAGGAAATGGCATGTATATCTGAATACAAGACGGGGGACAAGACTTCTAATTCTTCTTCTTCTAATTCTTTGCCATCTTGGATTTAGAAATATGTGCTATATTCGGAATGAGCAGCCTTATATTACATACCTTATATTATATACCTTGAAAACGACACCCAACTTGCCATTATTCGGAAAATCGTGCCCGCCATCTTGGATTTAGAAATTAGTGCCATGTTCTTAATGAGCACCCCCAAATACCTCGAAAACGACACCCAACTTGCTATTATTTGAAAAGTCATGATCGCCATCTGGGATTTAGAAATAAGTGCTATATTCCTAATGAGCACCCCCAAATACCTCGAAAACGATCCCCAACTTGCCATTATATGAAAAATCGTGCCCGCCATCTTGGATTTAGAAATGAGTGCCATATTCGTAATGAGCACCCCCAAATACCTCGAAAATGATACCCATATTGCATTTATTTCAAAAGTCGTGTCCGCCATCTTGGATTTAGAAACAAATGCCATATTCGTGATGAGCACCTCGAATACCTCGAAAACGATTCCCATTTTGCATTTATTTGAAAAGACGTGTCCGCCATAATGGATTAAGAAATGAGAAAAGTCGTGTCCGCCTTCGTGTATTCAGATATAAATGCCATTTCCATAAAGATTACCAAAAATAAATTTTTGAAAATTCCTGTCACTTGACGTTGTCGATCAACAGTAACGATCGACAAAGTCGAGCATATCTGTAGGCACCTGATCGACAGTAACGGTCGACAAAATCGAGCAAATCTGTAGGCACCTCTAACTTAACGATAAGTTAAGCAAGATACAATTTCCCCACTTTTGAGGGAAATGTTATTCCATGGCATCATTATTTGTATATTTGTGTGCGAGCCGACGAGCGTAAATACAAGTTGCTTACGCCTACATGAATTTGATTTTTGCCTCACTTGTGACAGTTCGTTTTTTATGAAACTATCATTCTATGCGTTATTATTCTAAGGTGCGAATATATATAAAGTGTTACGCATTTCTAAAAAGCCCATAGTATATAGATTTTAAAGCAATTATAATGTTGTGGATTGTTTGATTATTTTTCTATAAAAAAAAATACAAAAAGTGAGGGAAAAAAAGGTACGTATTTGAAATTCATCGAGACTTTTGACAGTTACGATGTCTCCCGGTGCTTTACATTTGGTGTTGTTTTATAGCTCAGATATTCATAAATAACATTTTACATAACATGCGGTTTTAGAAGTTAGTGCGAAAACTACGATTTAAGTCAAGAAACGGAAAACCGCTATCTATTGTGGTTTCTTATGTTGTATTATTGAATTGATTAGTATGCGGTATATTTCAATAAATTATACGTAATTATTGATAACAGGGCGTTTTGTCTACATTTTGCACTTATTTTGTGGTACTACTTTAATCAACAAAATGCACACTACCCTCATTTATGAAATTATATAAGAAGAGTGAATTAATTTAATAAAGCTATTACAAATTGATAATAAAACTAAACAGACGTTTGATTGTTACGTATCATCACTGAATTTCAAAATGTCAAATACTTTCAAGTGTTCCAAGCGTGAATTATTACTCTCATACATTGAAGGAGGAAAAAAACTTGAAACCCTATCTACAGTTTTAAAAGAAAACTATCATGCTTCTGAAGACAACATGTGTTTTATTACCAGTGATGTTTAAAGGAATCTCATTCCTTCCTTTAATAAACGATGGGCAGAAGTGTCTAGGAAAAAGGATTCGTTTCTAAAAAAGAACGAAAATTGGTTGGATTCTGAATATTTGGTAACCTTACCGAGCATCGAAGAAGGAACACCACCTGACATCACGCCATCTACTTCTTCTGGGAAACGCGGAAGACCCTGTGTCTCTTATGGAGACTCATCAGAATCAACGAAACGATATAAAACGAAGAAATACCGCGTTATTTACTGAATATGGCTTTGAACACATTTGCAATGCCTATGTTCAGGGCTTACGTTCAATAGGAGAAGAAATAGAAGCAAAACTCGTGGAAAAACTAAGGCTTGCTGACCGTGATGATACAAAGTCTCTATATTTGAATCTCATAGAAAACGCAACGAGAGAAAAATGCTAATGGATCAAGAAGCATTGAGTGTTTTCATTGACTTAGATTTAACGAAAGCACAATATACAGGGTGTCCCAAAACTCAACGTCAAGCGGTCACTGGGCGAGAGGTCAGGTTATATCAGTTCTGGTAAAAATTAAAAAAAAACCCATGTCACTTAGTTAAGTGATAATTGGCATTTTTTTGAAAATGTTGAAAATCGATACCCTAGACCACATGTTTAGGTACTGTCATCACAAATTTTCAAATTTTGGAGTGATTTTTTTTTTAACGTCATCATAAATAACCATGCTATTTATTGCAGTCACAAATCAAACAATAAACGTTGTGAGTGTAGTAAAAAAAAAATTTCATTGAGTCGTAGCTTAAAAAAAAAATTTGTCAGCTAGCTTTGACACTTCATATTTAAAGAAAAATGTGCTTTACTACCCCATGACATGGATTTTTTTTTAATTTTTACCAGAACTGATATAACCTGGCCTCTCGCCCAGTGACCGCTTGACGTTGAGTTTGGGACACCCTGTATATACTTAAGGAATTTAACAAACGAACGAGACTTGTGTTCTATTCCCATCATTTTATAAAATATAAGAAATCAAACAGACATGCTATCCACCATCTACAGCAATAGAAATTACAAATACACATGCAAAAGTACTAAACCTTCAAGATTTATTGGACCACACTGTAGCTAGGATTTTGGCCATAGATTCGGTGTATAAGAATGGATTGTCATTTAGTTTTATACAGTAAATGGGGATGTGATGGTTCATCTGGTCAAAGTCAGTACAAACAAAAACTTCGAGAGGAGTCTGAACTTGTTTCTGATGCAAATTTGTTTATTACGTCGTTAGTGCCTATTAAATTAGTCAATGAGTTTACTGGCGACATT